TTCCCAGTTGAACCAGCTCTCCGTGCCTTGCAGACCGGCAGTGCGGGGGGGAGCTGGGTGAGTAAACGGGCTACATCGAGTCCCCCAACTACCCGGGGAATTACCCCGCCAACGTCGAGTGTACCTGGAACATCAACCCACCGCCCAAGCGCAAGATCCTCATCGTGGTCCCAGAGATCTTCCTCCCCTCCGAGGATGAGTGCGGCGACGTCTTGGTCATGCGGAAAAACTGTAGGTAACCGAGCGTGCCGTGGTTCTCATGGGAGAAGCCGGGGGAGGAAAAGGATGGGGTTTGGAGAAAGCCACGTCCCCGGGCGGCTGGAGGGGATTTTTGGGAATTGGGTGAGCGGGGGGCTCGGCATCGCCCTGCCGCCCCGGCGTCTTGCTGGATCAGGGGGAAGTGCAGGGGCTCAGCATGGGCTGGGTTGCACACCCGAGTCTCAGCACTCCTTTTTGAGGGTAAAAAGCCCCATTTGGAGCTTTGCAGAGTGGGGAAGGAATAACAACATCCCTGGTATGTAACGTGAGAGTTGAGGGGGGCTCAGCCTTGCCGAACACGCACAATCCCCATCCCTGGTGCCCCGCTTTGCCCTGAGCATTTAAGCACGTAAGGCTGGGGGTAGCTCCGCTGACGGGCATCCAGCATCACGCATCCCCTCGCCGTTCCCCGCAGCCTCCCCGTCCTCCATCACCACCTACGAGACGTGCCAGACCTACGAGAGGCCCATCGCCTTCACTGCCCGCTCTCGGAAACTGTGGATCACCTTCAAAACCAGTGACGGGGCTTCCAGATCCCCTACGTCACCTACGACGGTGAGCACGGGGCGCAGAAGGGCACCATCCCGGTGTGCTGGAGCCCCCCTGCCCGGCTTGGTACCCGGGTCATCCCCAATTCACACCTCCCATGTATTGGAGGGGAGCAAGCTCAGGGATGGGGACCAGAGGTTTGGGGACAAGTGTCATCTCAATGCCCTGACTGTGTTTTTTTGGCTGGGTATTGCAGAGGACTACGAGCAGCTGGTGGAGGACATCGTGCGGGATGGCAGGCTCTACGCCTCCGAAAATCACCAGGAGATCCTCAAGGTGAGCGTGTTCCCCCACTAAGTCCTCGCTGGCCGGGGCTCCGGGGGATGCTGGTGTGCCGGAGCATCCTTCCCTTGGCTGTGCCCCCGTGCCTGCCCTGCGCTCGGGGCTTCCCTTTGGAGTTGCTGCAGGGGGAGCACAGGGTGGGATGGTGACCCTCCCTCCACCTTGGCTTTCCCACAGGACAAGAAGCTCATCAAAGCTTTCTTCGACGTGCTGGCACACCCCCAGAACTACTTCAAGTACACGGAGAAACACAAGGAGATGCTGCCCCG